TGGAGGCTTAAAGACATCACAAGGGAAAGGTGGGGCTACTCCCACCTTGTTCCAGTTCCCCTCGCACCCCAAGGGTGCGATCTAAGACCCAAGCTGCTTCCTGGCCTTCTTGTAAAGGAGCACAGCATTTGTGTGTGTGTGTGGGGGGGGGGGGAACCTGTGATGCACGCACATTTCCACAGGCCACATAATGGGTGGTTATGCCTGGAAAGAGTTAGGGGCAGATATTTCTTGCCACCCCTCAAGGAATTCTTCTCCATGTCAGAGGAAGTCAGGGTAAAGCTGAGTACCACCCCAAGACAACCTCACATCCCACCCGCCTGGAAACCACCGTACCAGTAAAGCCCTACAGTCCCAGGTTAAAATAAGCTGAACGAAGTTTCTAAGGCAACTCACATGAGCACATCCTCCTTCACATCTTTCACCCCATGGTTTGGCCAAAGTGAGGCTTTGCAAAAGCCTAAGCTGGAGTCTGGGAGGATCAGAGAGAGAAAGGAGGAAGGATTTGAGGAAGAGACTCTGTGCTCTCTCCACCCAAACTCCTGGTGCCCCAGACAGATCCAGCCCAAACCAGAGTGGAGGGGACACAGGCTCTGACCAAGTTTGCCACTCAAGTTCAAATATGGTTCAGACTGAGGCTGAAATGAGACTTTTCTGATAATGGAAAGTGATGAAACATTTTGGAATTTTGGCAGAGGTCATTATGGTACCAAACAGCCAGGAAGAGAAGGGCTGACATAACACCACTACGGGGCCGTAGTTGGAGGAAGGAAAGTGCATGCCCCAAGGAATATTGCTCACTAAAACTTCAAAGCATAGAGCTGGATTTCTGTATAGTTGTACAATCTGACAATGTGTCTTTCGACTGAAGAGCTTGCTTTCTATTCACAGTGAATATAGATATATTTGGTTTTTTTCTAGCATCTTATTTTGTGATCTTGGTTTACCATAGCTTTGCTTCTTTCCCCCTTTTCCTACCTTCTAATAGATGAATCGAGTTTTCCTAATATACTCTTCCTCCCTCTGCTAGGATCCACTCTACTTCTATTCTTTTAGGGGCTATAATGAACATTTAAATGTGTATGATTGACTTACAAAGTCTAAATGTAATTGCCCTTCTCTTGAAATCACAAGGACAACAGGATGCTTTCACTGACATCATACTCCACCCTTCTACACACTGTCTAGTATTTTAATCCCACTTTGTTTTGTATCTCCCAAATTTATCTTTATTATTGTTGTATAAAGTCCACGTTACTATTTACCCATATTTACTAATTTTTTTTCTCATTATTCCCCTTATGTCCTTCTCCTCCATCCTGTGTTCGAGTTTCTTCTTCCCAAAGGACAGCAGTCTTCAGCAGTTTTTAAGTGAGGGTTTTTATTTTCTGAAAAAGTCTTTATTTGGCATTGCTGGTGTGTGATAATTGAGCAGGGTACAAAAATCTAGGTTAGCGGTTATTTCCTGTCACCACATTGCAGGTGTTCACTCATTGTCTTCTGATCTCTATTTTTATCATAGAAGAGTCTATGGTTAGTTGAACACCCTTTTCCTTTGATGTCAATCTGTCTTTTTCTCTGGCTGCTTTTAGGATTTTCCCTTTGGTTTTGGTGGTTCTAGTTTCACCACAATATTTCTATGTGTGGATTTACCTTTGGGCCTCTTGAATTTGAGGATTTGTCTTTCATCAATTCTTGAAGATTGTTATTCTTTTAAAATATTTATTTCCTCTTAATTTCATTATTTTTGTGTGTTTTTTTTTCATTTGAGAATGAGAAAGTGAGAGTTGGGGAGAAGGACAGAAAGAGAGGGAGAGGGAGAGGATGGAGGGAGGGAGGGAGGGAGAGAGAGAGTGACAGAGAGAGAGAGAGAGAGAGAGAGAGAGAGAGAGACGATCCCAAGCAGGCTCCATACTCAGTGCAGAGCCTGATGCTGGGCTCAATCCCATGACCTTGGGATCATGACCTGAGTTGAAACCAAGAGTCCAACACTCAACCGACTGAGCCACCCAGGAGTCCTTCCTCCTAATTTCTTAATTATCTCTTTGTAGATGAGAATATCTGATTAGATAGATTATGGTAGGTGTTTCTAGTCTATGCTCTTAAACATATTATTTCCGTGCATGATTTTCTCTCTCTGTCCTTCATTCTGAGTATTTTTCTCATCTATATTTCATTTCACTAATTCTTTCCAGCTGTATCTAGATCTGCTGTTTAACCTGTCCACTGAGTTTTTAAAATTTCAGTGGCTATTTTATTTCCAGACATTTTGTTGTTTTTCAAATTTCACTTTCTTTTTAATAGTATCTTGGGGCGCCTGGGTGGCGCAGTCGGTTAAGCGTCCGACTTCAGCCAGGTCACGATCTCGCGGTCCGTGAGTTCGAGCCCCGCGTCGGGCTCTGGGCTGATGGCTCAGAGCCTGGAGCCTGTTTCCGATTCTGTGTCTCTCTCTCTCTCTGCCCCTCCCCCGTTCATGCTCTGTCTCTCTTTGTCCCAAAAATAAATAAAAAACGTTGAAAAAAAAATTAAAAAAAAAATAGTATCTTGATTTTTCTTATGGTTCTTTTTTTTCCCCCGTTTATCATGCTTTCCCCAGGCTGCTTCTTCCACTTTCTGCCCTCTGTTAGTTTTATGCCTTATAAAACTATTGCTATGACCTTCTATTTTGGATGATCTTTACATGAATTCAAGCTCTTGGACTTTGATCCTGCTGCTTGTTACAGTCTCACTAATGGTGGACTTCTTCCTTCTGGGTTTGCAATTTGCAATTGTGAGCTTATATTGAGCCAGGCTTGTGGTCCGGATTGTGAGCTAGTTCCTCCTCTTTTGGGGTTTCCTTCAGCCAAAACTGTCAAGCGCTATCATTGGCCTAGGTCCGGCTTTTATGTCAATTGATCAGCCATATGGGTAATGTAAAATTGAATCCCAACCTCCATGAGGTACTGGCTGTCGTTTTGGATTCTCAAGGAAGATATCACCCCATCCACTACCATCTTCCAGGGCCCAGCCTGAGACATACGTTTTTTGTCACTGCGGCAGCCGTGGAGTTATGCCACTCGGATCTTTAAGAATTTACCATTGGCTACAAGAAGTGCAGTTAGCTGCCACCTCCAGTTATTAGCACCTTCAGGGCATGCCCAGGCTTTCAAGCTAGGGTCACACCGTCCTTGGGCAGCCCCAGCCAATGAGTGAGTAGGTGGGGGTCTTAGGGCCTGGGCATTTCTGCTCAACGCAGGCTCCTCTAACAGGAACTATCTGCTCTAGAAGCCTTTGACTGGTTGGCTGAAACTCTGTCAGAACTACAGTATGTTCTGCTCCTGCCACTCAAACCTGCTTGCCCGTCTCTTTCCTTTCATGGATGTTGGGTCTGTGTCCTGGTCTGAGACTTTGCCTGCAAAATCCTGCTCCCTCCTGCCTTTACCTTTTATAGGCACTATTCCCCAGTAAACCTCCTGCACTTCAAACTGTGTCTCGACATCTACTTCCCGAGGACCCAACTAACATATCATCTTTTAGCGCTGGGTTGCATTTTTTCTGAACCATGTATTTTCTGAAGATGGGGCCTTTAAGGGACTTTCTCTGGAGGAGGTGTTGGTTCTAACTGTGACCTTCCTGGGCCCAAGGCCCGTACACCCTTCTTTTAAAAAAAAAAAATTTTTTTTTAATGTTTATTTATTTTTGAGACAGAGACAGAGCATGAGCAGGGAAGGGGCAGAGAGAGAGGGAAACACAGAATGTGAAGCAGGCTCCAGGCTCTGAGCTGTCAGCACAGAGCCCGATGCGGGGCTCGAACTCACGGACTGTGAGATCATGACCTGAGCTGAAGTCGGATGCTCAACCGACTGAGCCACCCAGGCGCCCCCACCCTTCTTGCCCCCACCTGTTCGGTGCAGCATCTATTCACATGCTTACAATGCCAGGGTTGTTTTGTCTTCATTTCTGGTACACTAGGATTTCCCTTTATTCCTTTCAAGGCTCTGTATTTAAAATTATGTTTATTATATCCCATCTGGAGTTTCCAGATGTTTATATCAGGTTTTTAAAAAATGTTTATTTATTTTGCGAGAGAGCGAGCACGAGCAGGGGAGGGGCAGAGAGAGAGAGAAACCCAAGCAGGTTCCGTGCTGTCAGTGCAGAGCCCAACATGGGGCTCGAACTCACAAACCGTGAGATCATGACCTGAGCTGCAATCAAGAGTTGGGACGCTTAACCAACTGAGCCACCCAGGTGCCCCCTTATACCAGGTAACACAACCCCAAATATTCGCATTTATTACTTTTTTGCCCAATTTTTAAAATAATTGTTGCCCAATTATTTCAGTGTGTATATTTAATGCCCAAATTGTGCTTTCAATGTTTTATTTCTTTTTTAAAAAATGCTTTTAACGTTTATTGTTGAGAGACAGAGCGTGAACAGGGGAGGGGCAGAGAGAGAGGGAGACCCAGAATCGGAAGCAGGCTCCGGGCTCTGAGCTGTCAGCACAGAGCCCGACGCGGGGCTCGAACTCACAAACCGCAAGATCACGACCTGAGCCGAAGTCGGACGCTTAACCGACTGAGCCACCCAGGCGCCCCGTGTGCTTTTAATGTTTTTAAATAATCATGTATAAATTGTACAATACTCGGGGCTAAAAGGAACTTGACAATTATGTCAGATCAGGAATTTGCTTATAGCTGTCGGGGAATAAAGCCTGCTTTATGACTTGTGAGTGCACCGCCTTATCTTTATACATACGCTCTTATACACATTTCCAGCCACACATTATGTATGAAGTAGGGGACAGTCTAAGAAGAGGAAAGAAGGAGACTGAGCAAGCATCTGTGGGAAACAGGGGAGGCATTGGTGCCACCTGCAGAGACCGGGGACAGCTGGGTGATGCTGAGCCATGACCTGAGGGGTAAGGAGTGTACCGGGGGTGTGTGTGTGGGGGGGGCAGGGGCAAGGAGAAGAGGACATTGCATGCGGTGGGAACAGCGTGGTGCCCAGGGAAGACGGGCAGTTCAGTTCATCTGCAGGATGACACAAGAGCAGTCACAGGAGATGAGGACGGGGAGGAGCCGCCTCCTGGGGGGGTTGGGGGGGGGGTCAGCCATGCGGGGCTGCAATTTGGATTTTCAGCAGTAGGTGATGGGAGTCATAGGAGGCCTTTAAGTCAGGGAGCGAGGATGCTCAGATTTCCTAGTTAGAAAGGTCACCCTGGGCCAGAATGAGGGATGGAGCGGGGCGGGACGGGGTGGGAGTTACACCCCGGGAGCCCGGGGCTCTGCCAAGCCTTCAATGGTGTGGAATGAAGTCGGATAAACGACAGAGAAAAGGAAAGAGAGAAGGAGACGGGAACCTCGGAGGAGCGTGGGTATCTTCCCAAGAACGGAGGCATAAAAGAACAGCCACAGGGCCCAGCACGATCTTCAAAGATCTTGATGCTGCTGGACCGGTTAAGGCACAGTTGACCCTTCTTGACTTCAGTCTGCCCGGGAACACGACAGAGACGTGGCACTGCTACTTAACAACGGGAAGTCGGAAGGGATGGGGGCCATCTTTGGACGCATCAGGAATAGAACAAAGTTGTAGAAAGATGAGGGTAAAGAAAGATGCCGGGAGGAGGCAGGCAGCAGACGGGTACCCTTCTGTGGGCAACAGTGGGTGGCTGAGATGAAGGGGTGGCTGGGCACGACGAGCCTCAAATGTTGTCGCCGAAGCACGTTATGTCAGTGCCAGAACACGGGAGCATCCGTGGAGGATGTGGCCTGGCCTCAGGTAGGAGATGAGAACTGCCCTGGGATTTGGCAAGTGTAGTAAAGCCAAAAATGCTTCCCTCACCAAGGTGTCCACATCCTAATCCCTAGAACCTGTGGATATGTTACCTTAAGTGGCAGAAGGGACTTTTGAGGGCGTGATTAAATCAGGATCTTCACACGAAGGGATTATTCTGGATTAGCTGGGTGGGCCTGATGGAATTGCAAGATTCTGAGAGGGAGGGGCGCCTGGGTGGCTCCGTCAGTAGGGTGTCAGACTCTTGGTTTCACCTCAGGTCGCCATCTCACGGTTTGGTTTGTGGGTTCGAGCCCTGCGTGGGGCTCTGCGCTGACAGCACAGAGCCTGCTTGGGATTCTCTCTCTCTCTGCTCCTCCCCGGCCTGTGCTCTTTCTCTCTCAAAATAAATGGATAAACTTTAAAAAAAAAGAGAGAGAGAGAGAAAAGATTCTGAGAGGGAGGCAAGAGAGTCAAAGCCAGAAAAAGATGGGATGATAGAAGCAGAGGTTGGAGTGACCCCCACTGAAGATGAAGGAAGGGGCCACGAACCAAGAAAGGAAGGGGGCTTCTAGAAGTTGGAAAAGACAAGGCAGTGGGTTCTCCCCTGGACTCCAGAAGGAACGCAGCTCTGCTGACACCGAGTTTAGCTCCGTAAGGCTCGTTCTGGACTTCTGACCTCCAGAGGCATAAAATAGGTCTGTACTGGTTGAAGCCACAAAGTTTGTGCTCATTTGTTATAGCAGCAAAAGGACACTCAGCGAACAGGGACCACAGTGCTCTGGCCTAAGGCTGATGCTTCCGAGCAGTGGTGGGGCCCCCCGCCCACGGGGCTGGCCCGGTCTCCCTAACTACTGATGGGGGCGCCCCTTTGGTTACTGAACTTTACCCCCCTCCCCCCATGCTCTGCCCGGAGAGCCTCAGGAGTCGGCCCTGGAGTGAACCACTAAATGGTTGGGGACTTTGGCAGGGTCCTCGGGATTCGTGCGCACAGGGCGTGTGGCAAGAGGGCGTGTGGGGATGTCCCCGTGCGGCGGCGGGGCGGTGGCACGGTGAGCCCGGCAGTCACCGGAAGCGTCCCTGCTTGATTTCCGAGCACTGGGGCCACGTCCAGCGGGGGAGGGCAGGGCTGCCGGTGAGGAGCGCGCTGCCATCGTCACCTCGACGCCACGGGACACCCACTCTCGCTTTCGCCCCGTCCCACTCCCAGGCCCTCGTGGCAAGTTTCCGCAGATTTTATTGTACGTTTTCATCTTCTTAAAAAGACAAAGATCAAGATGAAAAAGACCGAACACACGAGATAGAACATTGACAACCGTTGGCTCTGGTTGTCGGGCGGCCTCCACCCCCGGACCAGGAACACAGCAGCCTCGGGCTCCGCAGAGGCACGAGGCGAGGAGAGAACACCCGGCATCTGCTTTTCTCCGATGCTCTGCAGTTCTTCTCCCAGACCCGGTCTCACGCACCTCGCATCACATTACATCAAGGCGGACGACACAAAGCAGGACTCTACTCTGAAGCAAAGTGACTGGGCATGTTATGGTTTCCCCTCCATGGAGTCAGACTTCTCTGGGTTCTTCCACTCCTAGCTCTGAGGGCCGGCGGCCTCCCTGGGTCCGAGGTGACCACGTGTAGGAGGAGGGCGCCCAGGAAGCTGGCCATACGCTCCCGTGGGAGGAGGGTCTAGAGGCATCAGTGCCCAAGACACAGGTCTAAGAATGGAACCCGCCAAGCCGTCTTGGTGCTGGTTAGGTTTTATTTTAACAGGATGTTTCCTCTTCATCCGTTTTTCAAAATATCAGTTATATCAATATTAGAAGTGTAAACGGGTACAAAATATACAGTACATAGAAACAATTTTCCGAACTAGTCTATTGCCTAACAAAAGGACGCATGAGGAAGCGGACTGAAAGGAAGCCACGGTCTCTGGTTCCTCAGGGGGGAACAGGTTACCCGTTGGGGGCAAGGGGACCAGTGGCTGTGCCAACGAAACAGGAATGGACACTTGTGTGGTAGGGACAGCATTGCGGCAGAATCAAGAAACCTGGGCCGTTTCTAATTCTACCTCTAAGATGTCAGAGGGGGAATGAACAAGCGCTTGCCCCTCACGCAGCCTCAGACCTGCC